CCCCAAAACCCCAAAACCCCAAAACCCCAAAACCCCTTTATGGAGGATTTAGTTGAAATTAAAGGGTTTTAAGAAGAGAGATATGGTAATGAGGGAAGGAGGGGAGATAGAAGGGATATTAAGAATGGAGAGAGTGTAGGAGGGAATTTAGAGGTGGTTGCTTTTTTAGATTTTGAAATTTGAAATTGGATAAGTAGATTTTTGAGAAAAATGATTATATCTCTTCATTTTCTTGAGAGTGCTGGACTGGAGGATCTTTTTGAGGGGAGTCTTCTTGGTTGGTTCGAGTAGGCTGTGGTGCTAGATCATCTAAGAATGAGCAAAAGAAAGGGATAATAAACTATACCTGTGGGAAAATCTAACTCATTATGTTTTATGTAAGTGTCTAACAATTATCCTCAAATTACCTTTCTCATAATTTTGATCATCTTTATTTATCTTCATTACTCTTTTGGTCTTCCTCCTTAAGATCTTCTTTGAGATTTTCCTTTTGCTCATCACTTTGCTCTTGAAAGTCCTTTTTACAATCTGGTTCTTCTTGTGGAGTAGCCTCAATAATATTAGAAGACACTGTCTCATTTTCTTCTGTAGCGTCATCTTCATCCTCTTCTTTTTTCGATTCACCTTCTGAGGATGATGAATCATTTCTTTTATCCTCAGTGCTTGACAGAGGGTTAAAAATGGCTCCTATTTTAGAGAATGCTCCAAACCATCCACTGGCCGAATTTGTGTTTTCTTCTTCTTTCTCTCTCTTAAGTTCTTCTCTATCTTCATCAGTTAATCATAATATAGCATCAATCGCAGTTTGTTGAAGCTTGAAAGACTTGCTTAACTCGAAGAGGAGAGATTTAATCGTGTCTTTGGGAAGATTGAAGCCAAGCATTATTTTTCCAAGCTTGAAACAGGAGTTGTATAAAGTCTTCTTGATTTCAAACTATGAATATATGAGATAAAATTAGCTTAGAAGAAAAATAGAAGTTTTCAGTCATTTATCAGGCATAAAATTTGAAAAATAAAGAAATTATCAATGATTAAAAGACCAAAATTTTTAGATTTCTCATGATATAAATCTTATCTCCTAAAAATCTATTGAAGTTTGTGTATCTATCAAGATAAATGAAACTACTGCTCAAACCACATCTTAATTACCTCTCTATACTTCTTCTCTTGTTCATCAAAGTCTGTATCTCTGAGCACATCTCTTCAGTACAACACTCAATACCTCTCCCAAAACTTATCATCTGCATACATGTCAACGTCTTTAAGTTCATTTTGTAAATACACAAATCCGATGTCTTCAGAAGAGCTGTAATAGAATGAGCGAAGAATGGGTACGATTTTGTACCCACATTCTGTATCTTCTTTCTCAAAGGCAGCCTCTAGTACTCTCTTGAAGATAGCCACCAATGCATCATAGACAAATTTACCCTTGAGAGCTGTATTTTTAGAGGTTATTTTGGAGTAAAACGTCTCAATAAAAGCATCTCTTCATTTGTAGTATCAGGCTAGAGTAGAATTTTGTAGGTGGCTGATAAAAGTATGAAAATAATTATTCATAATGTGGTCGATTTCATTCCTGTTTTTACAATTCAGTATTTTATCAATAAAATCAACAACTTCTTGGTATTTTTGGTCGATATTTTCATTGTCTTTTGAATCTTCTATCAACAAATCTAGGTATTTAAGCTCGTCTTCTGGGTGAAAATCGAGTTTTTGGAGAGGAGAGATTTCATGTACTTTAATTTTATTACAATAAGCCTCCCTATCTAACTTCTCTACAAGATCTGCCATTCCTTTAGTGTCATACTTATTGTTCAAATCACAACTTGTTTCAAAGATGACTATCTTGTTCATAGCATCTTCGATGCTTTGGAACCTGTTTGATTCAAGTTGTTCAAACTCATTTCTGAAGTTCTCCAAATTCTGGCTATATTCAGTAATAATTTCGTTGATGCCTTCTTCTTGGGAAGCACATTCGATGACTTTCTCTTCGTTTATAACCATTTGAGAACCGATTTCTTGGAACAGTTTATTTCTGATAAAATACAGAACTGTGCTCAGTAGATTGTCTTTGGAAATCATCATATTTATACAGAGTTTTTATAAATGCTTTGGAGCTATCCTCATACCTCCATTGCATCTTTTGAAATTTGTCAAGGTCATAAGACAGACAAATGACTTGATCCTTGATCTTACCAAAAAGGTTCTGGGAGGTTTGATTGAAATCCTCAAGAGCCTTCTTAAATGGTGTAGCCACATCCTCTACAAGATTTTTCACAAAATCCTGGTATTGCTCCGCTTCATTCTTACACTTCTGCTTCATAGTTTCAATGATCTTTGCAAAAGGAGAATTTTGAAGATTCTTAGTTTCAAAATTAAAGAGTTGGGAAAGGTGAGAAGTTTTGCTTTTCTCTGTTTGGATTTTCTTCTTCACAAATTGCAAGAACTCCTCCATCTCCCTTCTTCCCTTAAGCGAGACCTTCTCTAGCTCAGAGACATAGGAAAGGTGTTCTTCTATCTGGTTTTTAATCAAATTTGCCATCTTTAATAATTATAAAATTTGGCAGGAAGGGGTTTTGGGGTTTTGGGGTTTTGGGGTTTTGGGG